AAGTCTAACTAAAACATGCACCTGCAACCTTGATGTTTACGTGCAGTAATGCACAATAATTTGTTTTCATAATGATACAGTAAACTCATGCTCTTATGAGCGTCAGCTGAGAATCGGCAAAATCGGATTCTGTCTCTCGATTTTCTCGTTAGTCTGAGTATATGTGTATAACCGTTTGGGAATGGAACAGACTTAAAAACGATTTGTTGGATGTTTGAGACCTGAGAAAAACTGAGAACGGTTAATGTGACACCGACAATTAGCGAATTGTTCATGCACGCTGGAATGATTCACGAAAGTACTTACTGAGGTCGTGACATGGACACGGTGAAAATTGTATTGGCCTAGATAAACAGTATCAGTCAACAAAAGAATACATAAAATATCTGCACAAACACAGTCGGCCTGTTTGTCATGGAAAATTCCATTTTCTATTAATCTAGCATAGTGTTTTCTCTTATAATTGACCTAAACTTAGTCAAATTGCAAACGTAGTCATGCACTAATAGAACCACGCATGGATTAACTGTATGTTATAACAATGCGCTCTACATGACTTCTTATCTGGTTCGCACATTATATTATGCAGTAAGTAATTGAAATATATTAACATGACAACAAATACTGGACAAAGACAATACAAAGTGAAAGCGTCTAATACACATTTATTGAGAAAAGGCAATCGGAATGATTAAAAAGTCACTGAATAGCTGAAATTCCGTCTACAGACCAATAGCCAAACGGTAAAACTTAGGTAAAAAAAATAACTGCTAAAGCTTGAGTATGATACACTGTTGAATACAGTAATAATGGGAAGGCAAGTCTAACTAAAACATGCACCTGCAACCTTGATGTTTACGTGCAGTAATGCACAATAATTTGTTTTCATAATGATACAGTAAACTCATGCTCTTATGAGCGTCAGCTGAGAATCGGCAAAATCGGATTCTGTCTCTCGATTTTCTCGTTAGTCTGAGTATATGTGTATAACCGTTTGGGAATGGAACAGACTTAAAAACGATTTGTTGGATGTTTGAGACCTGAGAAAAACTGAGAACGGTTAATGTGACACCGACAATTAGCGAATTGTTCATGCACGCTGGAATGCTTCACGAAAGTACTTACTGATGTCGTGACATGGACACGGTGAAAATTGTATTGGCCTAAATAAACAGTAACAGTCAACAAAAGAATACATAAAATATCTGCACAAACACAGTCGGCCTGTTTGTCATGGAAACTTCCATTTTCTATTAATATAGCAGAGTGTTTACTCTTATAATTGACATGAACTTAGTCAAATTGCAAACGTAGTCATGCACTAATAGAACCACGCATGGATTAACTGTATGTTATAACAATGCGCTCTACATGACTTCTTATCTGGTTCATACATTATTTTATGCAGTAAGCAATTGAAATATATTAACATGACAACAAATACGGGACAAAGGACAATACAAAGTGAAAGCGTCTAATACACATTTATTGAGAAAAAGCAATCAGAAAAAATAAAAAGGCACTGTATAGCTGAAATTCCGTCTACATACCAATAGCCAAATGGTAAAACTTAGGTTAAAAATAATTGCTAAAGCTTGAGTATGATACTCTGTTGAATAGAGTAATAATGGAAAAGGCAAGCCTAACAAAAACACGCACCTTCAACCTTGACGTTTACGTGCAGTAATGAACAATAATTTCTTTTCATATTGATACAGTAAACTCATGCTCATGTGAGCGTCAGCTGAGAATCGGCAAAATCGGATTCTGCCTCTCGATTTTCTCGTTAGTCTGAGTATGTGTGTATAACTGTTTGGGCATGGAACAGACTTAAAACGATTTGTTGGATGTTTGAGACCTGAGAAAAACAGAACAGTTAATGTGACACCGACAAGTAGCGAATTGTTCATGTACGATGTAATGATTCACGAAAGTATTTACTGAGGTTGTGACATTGACACGGTGAAAATTGTATTGGCCTAGATAAACAGTATCAGTCAAAAAAAGGATAAAAAAATATCTGCACAAACACAGTCGGCCTGTTTATCATGGAGAATTCCATTTTCTATTAGTCTAGCAAAGTGTTTACTCTTATAATTGACATGAACTTTGCAAATTGCAAACGTAGTAATGCCTAAACGCCTACATGTTCGTCTACAATGTTGAAACCCACCAGGCTGAAAATAGTATTTAGAAAAAAACTCAATTAGTTTTGGCAGTTAGATAATTAATTTCTAGTTCGTGTTAATTAAGCTACCTCAAATATACTAATTACGATGTGAAGAGGCAGAGACGACATTGTTGTAAAGTAGATGCAGAAACCTAATAAATGTTGATAAATGTGACCAAGTGCCTATGCTGTTATGTCGTCATCGCAGGGATCATTTGGCATGGTGTTTGGCGAAGCGTGGCTGGAACCTGAGGACATGCATATGCTGGATTATTCACTTGTAGGATGAGATCTGGTTCTTGTTGGTGTCACACACCGGCTAATTCGGGTCTGGCGGCATAGAAACACGACACACACACACATGAGCGTATGTCACACAGTCCCCTTTGGTTGAGGATCAGTCATGATGGCGGGTTGCCTGTCCCATGGCTGCAAACTGGAGATAGCTACTGTGCATATCTTTTACCCGATGGTCGTACCACACTGTGATGACCACCTTCTGGATATAAACCAGACCCTTCTACATAGACGACAACTCGAGACCACACAATTCCCGACCGTTTCCTCCAGCAGAATGCCATCAGAACAATCATATGGCCCGCCTAAATCATTGGATTCCTAAATGTCACGGTTGTTGCTTTTGTCATCGTGTCATAGATTTAGGACCAGTGCGCATATTTTCAAATCTCATGGCAAAAATATCAGAGGGCCCTTAACATTTCTCCAGGTGTATAGATAAAAGCTCCCACAGCCAACAACAGATACAGGACAAGACAACAGAGCTGGAAACCACCTCTTCACAGGTTGGTCTCAAGATCCCTGAGGGCAAGACCAAGATCCCTCAAGATCAACACGAAAAGCGAGGACCCACTCACACTCCATGGAAGCGAGCTGGAAGAAGTGGAGGCCTTTACATTTCTGGGCAGCATCATTGACAAGCAAGGAGGCACAGACGCAGACGTCAGAGCAAGAATCGACAAGGCAAGGACAGCATACTTGCAGCTGAAGAACATATGGAGCTCCAAGGTGGTATCGACTCCCACGAAGATCAGGCTGTTCAACTCCAAAGCCAAGTCAGTGCTACTGTATGGAGCAGAGACATGGAGGACAACAAAGACAACCAGTAGGAAAGTGCAGACTTTCATCAACAACTGCCTGAGAAGAATCCTCCAACCCCCAGGGAAAACGAAAAAGAGGACGGCCAAGAAACACCTGGTGACAGGACCTCGAGGCAGACAGCAAGAAGATGGGACACACCTGGAAACAACTAGAGAGGGAAGCCCAGGACCGAGGACTCTGGTGGACTGTTTTCGGCGGCCTATGCTTCGAGAGGAGCGATGGGCATAACTGACTGATAGATATCAGCAAAACAAACTCATACATATACTACTCAAATGTAGTTACAACGCTTGTAGATGATCTCGTGGATAAGTACGGTAATACTATGTCCTTTCGCAATTCAGAAGTTAATATGAATGCAAATATCTTTGAACCTGAAAGCTTAATAACATACAAATTCTTCAGGATACGGGAATACAGCTCGCTATGAAATGTGAGACGCCTCTTCTACGAGAATGGATTTTGAATGAATTATGATATACTTCACCTTAAAAAGGTGTATGCATATGTTGGCCACTTTTAAAACATGAAGTTAGTTGATTTGTCTGCTGGTGGTCATTTTGTCCCCAGGACTTATCACTATCTTTGCAGCATTTCACTGACAAATGTTGCTCCCGTCCACTACGCAGCCGACGCGACTGCTGCAAGGTATGATTTATATATGTTTTTTGTCACAGTGGAGTGAGTGAGTGAGTATGGTTTTACGCTGCTTTTAGCAATATTCCAGCAACATCACGGCGGGGGACACCAGAAAAGGGCTTCACATTTTCACAGTGGAATCAACAGTAAGTGCAAGTTATTTTTTAGGAACTAAGACATTATATATATTTGGAAATTGATGTTTCAGCCGTGATAAGGGGAACCATGTTCTAAGGCAGACGAAAACGTTGGCAATAACGACCTCAAGCAGTAGCCAGGAAACTCTGATGCCTTTGTTTCGCCGCCAAACTGATGACCCGTAACACTGCTCACGTGCAGAAACATGAACCAAAACAAACCTTTAATTGTAGATATTTTTCAAATGATCAATGAGGCACATTATTTAACACGTGTTTGTTAGCATTATCAAAATAATAGTCTCAGATACCGAAAATTAGTGTCTAAAAAGAAGTTTCTTTTGAAACTCTATTGTCTGTTGTCAAATTCCGACCGACCGTTCGGTGAACCAGTCAACCTGACTGATCATGTGACGTAATACATTAAGGAGCACATTCCAGGAAAACTTGCAATGTTTGTGAGAGATAAGAATACATTTTTCAACGGTAGAATTTAAGAATCGTGTGTTTTGGGATGGTAAATATCCCGTAATAGGAATAAACACTATGTATTTAGTTCAACAAGGCTCGCGAGGTACAATGATCATTCCTCATACAGAACACACGAACAAAACACACGAGCGTGATAACCTGTATGTACCACAACCTTTTATGGTAATGATACACGAGGACACATAAACAACTACTAACCACAATCTTACAGAACGATAATACAAAACAGATCAGATTTTCATATATCATTGTAACCTTAATTATTGGTTACACAATATAAGGGATTGGCGGAAAACAACATGTGATTTGAACAGAAATCACATATATTTCAGATTTGAAGGTTTCTTGTCTTTGAAATATAGACATGTTGAAGATAATAAGATCATGAGAACAAAACATTTAAGAAATATTTAAAAGCAAGATGAACTTTAATGTTATAATTACTGTGAGGTGATTACTTTTAATCAGACATTCCCATGTTTTTTAGAACTACTTAAGACCACAACCGAATTAGAAGTGAACAGCAGTATAGCATTAAAATGGGACATTGGGGAGAAAGAGAGGATACCATGGGGAACCCGTGGATCTGTTCGTAGGTGTCGTCTCCACAGGTGAAGAAGATTGAGATGACACTGATGGCTGTGTGTATGGAGAGGTTGGTATCCAGCGGTTGATCTCGGTTGGAAATGCTTGATGGAGGATTTGTAGGGTTTCATCAGGAAGAACTTTGGTGAACAACATTGTAGCTGATGGTCTGGTCAGGTTCAGTGATCCTCTCTATCTCTTGACAAAAGCGGTGACTGTCTGCAATATATGATTTCACTGTCTTACCGAGAGGGGAGTACATGTTAATCATCTGGTTATTACACCGTTTTATAAATATATACATACTTCTTATCACTTGCAGTACTAAACCACATGATGGTGACAACTTTCTCAGGAAGCCCCCCACATGCTAGTATGTAACTAGCATATAACCATAAAAATACATGGTTATACAAAACAATACATGACAAAAACGGAACATAGATCGCCAGCAACCAAATTTAGGCCACCACACAAGGGGACCATAGGGACGTATAGTATCTCTGCTATCTTCATGGTCCCCCAGCAAGACTTTCACCGTCTCTCTAGTTGTGTAATCAAATTATGTTAAAACGTTCAACAAACAATTATTGTACGATTAAAATAGAAGTTTGATTAACCTTACGTAGAATGATGTGGTCATACATACCCTCTCAAGGGGACAATTATTTTACTTCAACCCCCTTTAAGGATACAGCCACTAACAATATCAGTAACAAATAAGACACAACTTATATTGTATTTGTTTGTTCTTTAACGCCACACTCCGCAATATTCAAGGTACATGAAGGAGAGAGCAGTCTGTAAATAATCTAGTTAGGACCAGACATTTGGTAAATGTCTTGAGTGTGGCTTTACGGATTGGAGAAAACACGCTCACGAGGTTTTGGTAGACAGAGCATACTCTGGGGAGAGGGAAAAACCAAGGGGGCGAAGCCCCCGCGGTTTTTCCCGACCCCCAGGGCATGCTCTATCTACCAAAACCGAGGGAAAGTGTTTTTCCATACTTATAAACCGTCTAAATTGATTAAATGTTATAACAAGCATCTATAAATGAGGCGCTTCATTATAGCGCTTCCTTGAAGATGTGATATCATAACTTGCACGTGAAATTCGCTGACTTGCCAGGCGGTCAAGAGCACTTGAATGTGTCAACAACAAAACGCAACTCAAATACTTACTTTTAAATGAAAGTGAAATCTTCGGTCTCTAAATGTTTGTGTTGCAATATTCTACTTCTTTGAAACTTTTCAAAACGAAAATTCGCAAATTTAAAAGGTGTCTTTTGCTTTACAAGATTTACGACTTTAAACAATCTAACTGTTACCTAGAGGTAGTTGTGACGTAACGGCTAGCAGTTACTTCACGTGCAAATTGTGCAGCATTGATAAGCACTTGTTTAAAAGCACGTGTTTTGAAACCTCGCTGTCCTTTCACGAGAAAATCTGTAGTGGAAAGATGAGCGACGACGACTTTCATTTTGCTACCCAGTCTTCATTCACTGTACACATGACATTCAATTTTAATTGAATTAAAATTTTGAATTGCTACTTGTAGTCATTTTTTTCAGTTACTTGGTTAAATCTGGGATTAGAGGTTTTACATTCAAAGTAAAACCTCCAGAACGAAAATAAAACCTCATAATAGGTTTTACTTTGTGAGTAAAACCTCTTAATAGGTTTTAATGCCTATAGAAAGAACTCTCTTACTTAATAGAGATCCCAATGAAAAGGTTTATAAAATTGGCATCCTCTATATGTCCAGTGTTCGCATTTCAGTAACCGTACACTAACCACTGGGTCCCTTCACGTTGTTCCTGCGATCTTAAATTCCCTGCCCTTCATATGATCATAACCATTAGCTTATTGATTTGCTACGCTACCCAGTCTAATGGACAAATCAGAATGCCAGTTACAAACTAACAAAATGGTAGGTTGGTGACTTCAACAACGACTTCAGCCCCCATGATTACGACAGAGTTTGCGAGAAATTCAACATTGAAAACCTGACTGACACGCAAGAGGAAGCCCTAAAAATCTTTTTAAAGGACAGGATGTCTTCATGTCCTTTAAGACTGGCGGGGACTTTCCAAAACACAGGCTGTTAGAATGTAAACTTAAGTTACTGTGTATTGATATTTTATGGACGTTTTATTTGCACTCTTATATGCTTTATACATGTATGTTTACCGGAAATGATGATCACAATTAACTGCCCCTGATGTTTGAATATATGTGTCTGTTGACAGTCATGCATCGTCGATGTCAGACATGTGTACGGCTCTGTGAATAAATCTTTCATCCAGTTGAAGCCTCTATCAAACAAAAGGTTAGAAGTATGGCGAATTCAACACATGCTTATGATATATATGTTTATGAATATATGAATATGAAAACGGTTTTGTCCTTTACATATGTACAAGTCGATTTGTCTGCTGCTGGACAATCACTAACTTGGTAGCATTTATCAACACAAATGTTGAACGAACAAATTGGAAACTGTTTGGGCCGAGACAGTAAAACTGGTTACTTCTGTTTCAACATCTGTTTCACTGTGGACTCTCTGAATAGGTGTGGACGTACCTGGAGGCGTCCTAGTTAGCGAACGTCAGTGTAAGGCAACACTTACACTTAGGTCTGTAATGATATTGGGTGGGATCACTATATCATCATATAACGTTGATCTCTCTAATTAACCTGTACAAATATGCCAATGACATCTGACATGATTTAGCGTGTTTGGACAGATACAAATACAACGATTCATGCTCTTCGAGGTGACAGTGCCAATGAACCAACAATGATATATGTACCTCCGTTTCTCATAATCAAATTGGGACTTTTACCTTCGTCTTAAATTCATCAAAATCGCGAATTTGCCTCACGCTAAGGAAAAAGGATATTACTGTTAGGCGATTACAAATTGATATATTTTGAGCAGGTGTATCCAAACGTTGTCGTATTTTAACTAGTGACCTCTCTTGACTTGTATATTTTCCCATTTTATTAGTGCAAGCTATATCATTCACTTTTATTGACGTAACGATACAATATTGAAACGTTCATTAAACATATGTTGCGACGGACAGGAAGTGGTACTGAAGGTAGCCTTACTGCTTTGTTATGATCATAGGTTCACATGTTGACACGTAAACATACTTCTACAAATTTAGGAGAACCAGGAAAACAATATATCAATTGTAAAATCGTCGCAATAAAAAAACATAGATGTTCTTTTACAGTGCGTGAGTCAGTCAGCTGTGTTCAAAGCCCCGTTGAACGTATATTACGGCGTGTCAGCTTGAAGCAAGAGGAAAGCCCAAAGAGTTGCAGGTCTTAGACGTTTACCACAACTCCCGAGCACAGGTATGGTGCTGAAAAACCTAAAAACATAATCGGGACGAACCGGGATTCGACTCCACGAACATAGGTTATAGTCACTTGGGGTTAAGTCTGGGCTGTAGGATGGGAGATTTAACTGTACTGCCAAGACTTAGCCCCCAGTGACTATTTCCTGTTCCGGCAAATGAAATCTGCCCTTTGTGTAAGACGCTTCCGGGATGACGAGGACATAAAGGCTGCCACAGAGGCGTGGTTAGAGGGCCCAATCTGCGGATTTCTATAAAAGTGGTATTTAAAAGCTTGAAGGACAAATGGAATAAGTGTATTGAGGTGAATGAAGATTATATTGAAAAATAAAAGTGCAAAAGATATTCTGCGAATTGGTCTTATATTGAATTAGCAAAACTTATTGAACGCCCCTCGTAAGTTAGCTGTTACTGTTTAGTTGTAGCAAGATAATAATTAATTATTTGTTAAATTTTAGAATGTCAATAAAAGCGTAGTCAATGCATTAATTAAGTTAGGAATCTGGGTCAGTAGAAATATTTTGTAACACTCCAGTTTAGAGTGACAAAATAATTGATTTCACTTGCCTTTTGACACACATTTGTATGTTCTTTCTTTGCTACTGATTTTGAAGCCACTAACACTCAAACAATTCATACATTAAATATACTGAATTTAAATACACAATTACAGTGGATTATGAAAATTAAATTAGGCAACTTCCAGAATAAGAGCTTGTGAAAGAGATTTCCAAATGTACCGGAAAATGTGTCTGACGTATATATTGAAAGAGAGAGAGAGAGGTTATCACGCGAGTGTGTTTGGGGATGGTAAATATCCTGCATTAGGAATAAACATTGTATTTCGCGAGCCTTGGCGAGCTAAATACATAGTATTTATTCCTAATGCAGGATATTTACCATCCCCAAACACACAAGCGTGATAACCTCTTTATCATATAATGTCATTCTTTAATTCTGTGCTTCAAAATCGCTTTCCCTCTCTCCCAAACATTACCGAAACATTGCGAGTTTTCCTGGAATGCGCGCATTAATATTTATTACGTCACAGGGTAAGTGATGTGTCAGTCGGACAAGGACAGTAGCCAATGTAGTTCCAACCGAAATATGTTTCTTATACAGTGGCGAAGCAACATATACGCAAAACAACAATTGTTTTTAATTGCCTTCCGCGGCAATCCATCGGTCTGTCCGCTAGAGTAACTGCCCTTTGTCAAAGGGAAACTACTCTTACCCTAGTCTATGAGACGTCACGGCCACGGTCAGATGTTGACAGTCGGTGTGTCATAACGATAAGATGTTTTGTCAGATGTACACACAGCGACAAAACGAAACAAGGTAGCAATTCAAACATATTTCCGCCAAATCCTACTATTTTAATTTGTGGAGAAGGTTTCAAGCCGCAGAGGTCTACAAGCACAGATATGGCTACTGATCCCGCTTGGCTAGGCCTCGTGCCCTCGCCAAATTGTTTCGAAATTTATATCTCCAAAGTTGCCAAAACTTATACAATGCCTTAGCTACGTCACAGTTAGACACAGATTTTCAGTATATTAGACTGTTCTTTTGATAATGATAGCAATTATCCCTGTAGTTTATCCAGATTTCCGATGGTTAATTCTGACTCGATCACCGAATGACGAGTGCGACGCCATGTTTGTTTATAAACAGTGAAAGTAGTCCCTACGTGACCTTTGATATTTGCATCTCTGTCCACATATGACCCAGACGGATATCGTTTTTATCCGTAGGCTTTATCCTGCCGAGAAACCTACCCATTATATGATAAATATATATATATATATATATATATATATATATATATATATATATATATATATATATATATATA